CCTTCCAACTTTTCAGCAAGTTCCCATCCTTGTTAAGATAGAAATAACTTAATTTTCTGTGTCGGGTGTTGGGGCTCAGTAAGAGGACACTTTCATGTAAAAATCAGGCTATTTATTCATCAGTCTTTTACACCACTTGTTGCTGTATTGTTAAGTTATATGTATATCAATGAATGTGGAATTTAGTTAATTGAATCAAGTGGACAAAGTAATTGAAAATCTCATTGCCAATGAGATAGTTGAAAAGCAGCCTGCTTGCTAAAGTCAACTTCAAGTTTTGCAATATTGCTGTTTTGACTTTCTGTATTTTTTGTGGATCTACATACGAATTTTGGTGCTCTACATATATGAACAACTTCATATTAGAAAACTACATAAATCAACAGACCATGCTGATTCAAAGAATGCAACCATTTACCAGTATGACTACTGGTTGAATGGAGGCAAAGTTTAATTAAAATTAAATCAAAAGGGGCATTTCATACACTTATTTGTCTTAAATATATTTTTTTCTTTCTATTTTGATCATGAATGGTCCACATTAAATTGTATGTTTCAGGGGAAAGAAAGATATTGGAAATACATTTAAGCAATAATACAAAATTGTCATACTGTATGTGTATCAGTTCAGCTTCAGATAAGTGGTTAGCAAAAAATAAGTACTTCAGATAAGTGGATGTGTATCTTGAAATTACTGTTTTCAAATTAAGCACTCAACAAGACAAAAATGGCAGCCATTAATGGCAGGCAAATCTGTAAATTTCTGTTACCAATATTCCACTGATAGTGACTTTAAGCTACAATCTATACTGTATTTATTGGGAATCAAAAAAAGTTACCTTTAAATAAAAAAATATGTACTGAAAGAAAACTGAATAACAGCATATAATGCTTGAAATCATTAAAATAAACAATACTGAAACAGGCAATTTTTATTTACAATTGATTTAAGTGGCAGCTTTAAAAAACTAAACAGTAATTACCTTTCTGTTGTAAGTAACCCTTGATTTTAATGTATAGAACTTTTAAGATTGTATGAAGACATTATTTTATTGTGTTATGAGATATTGTCAGTCGAAAAATATGAGTAAAAAGTGTATATCTTGCAGATTCCTTTGCTTTTTGTTTTGTGTTATTGTTTTTAAAGGTATCCCATCTGGGATTTTCTTGCCAAATTAATTTTTTGGTCCAAGAACTTAATTTTCTCCTACTCACAAACCGTTACTCAACCCATTCCCACACTTGGATTTTATGTATTATATAATTTTAAAAAATAATTTAGTTTTCAATCTTTCCCTTAATGTTTGGACCCCAATGTCTTTTGCTACATTTCAAAAGAAAACATTGACATCAGGTGCTTTTACTTCAGGGGTTTCATTGATTTGAAAGTCTGCATTGGGAAATAAAAGTAGCTTTACAGGATATGCAGGCAAAGAAAATTTGACTTTGGGACATTTTCAAATGTCAGTAGAATACCTTTTGGAATCATAGTAGCTGTTATAAATTTATCTTCAACAGGATCATATCAAGGACATGTTTTCCACTGTTTGTCAAAGCCATCCTTTTCTTTCTCAACATAAACTTTGCAAATGTCAATGACGGTGTAAATTTCCATGCAATCTGATCATTAAGGCTGTCCTTTGGGAAGAAAGCAATCCATTTTTCTATACATTGTTTTAACTTTGTAAATCTTTCAAGTAGAAGGATTAACCATTCTTTGTCCCACTTTGAAAGAAATGATGTTATTTCATTGTCAATAACACCATTTAATCTAATCAAAAAAAGAGATAAAACCATCTTTCAAAAAGACAGAATTCATAACCGTTTATAAAAGACCTATACACAGCACATGACGTGTTAAAAATGCCAAATAGATCGTTTTTCGATATTTTTATGACAGATGAGCAAAATGGTTTTAACAACAGCCAAGGTGTGAATTTTTTTTGTTAAAAATTAAAGCATGCACACATGTATGTCCAGGATACCAAGAAAAGACGACCCATCTCCAAAACCCCCCCCCCCCCCCCCCCCCCCCCCCCCCCCCCCCCCCCCCC